GTGAATCACCATGTGGGCACTGGAAACTGAACTCAGGTCCTCTGCAAAATTAACAAGTGCTCCTAATTGCTGAGCCATCTCTCCAGCCCTTCCGGTAGCATTTTCCACAGATGGGCTCACTGTAATTTCTGACTAAGAGAGAGACTGTTCTAAAGAAACAAAGACTTGAAATGTTGCCAGGAAAGTTATATGTATTATGTTATTGGGACTTTTATTCCTTGAGTTGTAGAAGTTAGGGTGGTATAACCAGAGAAATATGAGACTCACACTTAGCAAGCATTTATTGAGTTTAGACTATTGGTATGATCTACATAAAGGTGTCACAGAAAATCTAAAGGATATTAAGTAAGTGAATAGTTCTCTTATTGCATGTAATTTTAATAAGATTCAGAGTACAATTAGAGAACAATGTAAGACTGTATACAAGAAAGTGCTTAAGTGAATATAATTAAGCACATTTTCCATTAAAATTCCAAATTACAAGAAGTCATGGGGGAAAGATTGATATTGGCTGTCAGCAAAATGAAGCATGCCAAAATTAATTGAAGATGGAATATACAGGATTTCAAAATCTATTATGTGGCATATCCTGGGGTATGTTCCCAACTGACTATCAGCTTGAATTGTCTCATATAAAATGACAAGAAAATAAAGTTTCACATCAGAACTTTGTAGATCATTTAGAAGAGTTCTAATTTCATAAATTTAGAAGGGATCTTCACATCGACCTGATTATTTCCTTTAATAAATATCCATGTTTATTGCAAGTGCTTGTGCTGTCCCCTTTCATCCTGCAGTTATGAGAAAGTAGGTCCCATAGGGTTTCAATCTAGCAGGTACACAAAGCTTTCTGTGTCTCCGATCATTTTATTTTTATGCAGTGTTCCTAGTGTCAGCATCATTTCCTGAGAGGAGTCATTTTGATACATGAAGACCAGAAAGATAAGGATGTGTACTTTAAAAAAAAAAAAAAAAAGAACTCTTGAAAATCGACAATCTGAAGTTTAAATTAATGGCATGTTCATCATCTAACATTTAAACATTCTTAAATTTCCCATTCAATCTCAGTTTAAAAATTCTCCCCAAATGGGATTATATACCCTCTGTGCTCATAAATATTCCATTTTTGGAAATACCTTGATCTCAGAGCAAAGAAAATACATAAAACCTCCTAGGGTTGACCCTCCTTGGGAGAGTACAGATCTTTTACCTCATTTTATTTTCTTCTTTTTAAAAATTTCATGCCAGCATTACTTTGTGTTCAAGGAAAGTTAAGTTTACAATTAGATAAAGCGGAAGTGAAATACTGAATATGTTCAAAACCATACCTCTATTTACTCTTGCCGTTTAGTTAGTAATAACTTGTTAGTACCAGGGCCTTTAACACTATAGTTCCTTTTTTAAAAATATCACCATCAGATGAGTTTTGCATCACAACACTAAACAAATTCACAAGATGTATTAGCAACTTCATGTGTCCACTCATTCGAGCTATCAAAAGGAAAGAGAATTCTTCCTTGAGAAGACATAGTTCCATCATCTCTAGCACTAAACATTGCTGATAATAGTTGGGGGGCAGTAATAGAACTGACTATTTTTTCAAGACAGGGTTTCTCTGTGTAGCTTTATCACCTTTCCTGGAACTCACTCTGTAGCCCAGGCTGGCCTCGGACTGAACAGAGATCCGCCTGCTTCTGCCTCTGCCTCCCGAGTGCTGAGTGCTGGGATTAAAGGCGTGCACCACCACCGCCCGGTGCTGACAATGTATTTTTAAATGCTTTGTTAGTAAGAGATTTGGAGGTGGGTGGAGTGGAGAAGTTGCAGGAACTTGAACTGGGCAGTGGTTTGATCTTCACTTTGTACCAGCCATGCTGATGCTCATTAGGAAATTCATGAGGCTATCCTCAGCACCATTACACTCTCCCAACCAGTTCCATTCACAAAAATGGTTTAAATACACATTTATGATTTGGCTGTATATTTCAAGAAAGAACCAGAATGAAGTCAGCTAGTAACTAAATAGGACAACAGTTTGCTCACACAGATAGGAAATTAATGCTTCCCCATGTCACTAAGTAAATGGCACTGAAAAAGGCATTTATCAACATAATAATGAACTCCTAACAGAGAGAAGTGAATTCATGGATCAGAAAACACTAGGTTGAGTTTGCTAAACTTAGAGCTGTCACTGGATATAGAAAAAGAAATTAATTTAGAATGCTTTAAAGATCTACTGTCAAGTTAAGCTTACACACTTTTGAATAATTTAACCAGCTTCTCAAAAGGCCCTGGACTACAGTTCTCATTTTAAATACAGATGAAATATTATTTTTTAAAATTCTATTGAAAACCCTTTAGGCAAATTAAATTTCACAAAGTTTATTTGAGCAAAGGACATTGTGGATTGGGCAACCCTCAGAACTAGAAGAGGTTCTGAGAGTGCCAATCCGCACTGTACACAGGGTCTTTCATAGTCTCAACACAAAAGCAAAATAGAGAAATGACTTGATGGGTCACAGCTAAGCTTCTGCCTTATTTGAGAATGGGCCAGTATGATGAGCTGGCTGCAAATGATTGGCTAAAACGCGGATGCTTGTGATTGGCTGAAATTTGGCTGTTAAACTCTTAAGCTATCAATTTGCAGTTGGTTTACATGCTATGCTATGTGAGGTTACAGATCCTGATGTAAGAATTCAAGGCTGTGAAGCTAGCTTAGTGGATAAAACACTTACCATATAAACATGAAGACCCAATTTTGCACACTCGGAATGCATGGAAGGAGAGGGACTCCTATATAATCTCAGTGTGCTCCTCAGGCAGGATGGGAGGTAAAGATAGATAAATCACCAAAACGTACCAGCCCAGCTAGCTTAGCATATATAGTGGCAAGCAACAAAAGATTCGGTCTTAGACAAGGTAGAAGGCAAGGACTGACTCCAAAGATTGTCCTCAAAACCCTACACTCCCACTGTGGTGTACAAATGTCCTCACACATATACATACACGTGTATACATGTACATTACATAGGAAGATTTTTTTTCTTAATTTAAATGGAGGACAAAAATCAGTGGAAGGAAGTTACAGCTTATTACTGATCCACTAAATTGCAAAATTCAGCCTCTGTGATGTACACATGTGTACATGAATATACATATATGTGTAAATGTATGTATACCAATATCTATAAATAGATATAGACATTTTCTCACTAATATAAGGTAAAACATATTATATTTACAGCTATTGGAATGGTGACACGTGCCTGTAGTCCCAGACTTAGGAGTCAGAGGCAGGAAGAACATTGCAAGAGGAAGACCAGCCTGGTGTGCCTAGCAAGTTCCCAACCTGCCAGGCCTATAGTCTGATTCTATCTCAACAACAGCAACAAAAAAAAAGAACACTAGCTATAAAGTTACATTTTCACATCGAATGAATCAATTTTTTGACTATGTCATATCTCTCATCAGTGTTTCTCTCGTCTACCATTGGTCTTTGGAGTAAAGGCTAGTCATGACTTCATCCGCACCTCACATGTCACTGGCACACACAACCACTCAGGAACTCTTTTACAAATCAAACTGAACTTCTTCCTGTGTTCACCTTTTCTAAGAAGATGAAGGGAATGAATGGCAATCAGTGTAGACAGGGGTTCGATGCATCTATTTGGAGTGAGGAAAGAGGCAGAGGAAAATTACCCAAATATCTGCTGAAGTCAGGTGAGAGACCAGTCACAAATATGGACAGTGGAGAAAGGGGAATGACTGCCTTCCCCACAGGGTGCAAAAATATTCAAGATTTTCTGCAGAACGTCCCATCGCACCAAACCCTCCAACTTTCCAAGGAAGCACCAGGCTCAAATATTTTTGTATGTGAAAAACTTCTGGTGTTTGAAAAACAGTTTGAAATCCTTGTTTACCTGTGTTTGACAAATCCTGTTTCTGCAGCCCACCTTCAGCCACAGGGCTGACAGTTTCAGATCTCGTTCAGGGGAAAGGGACAGTGACCAAGAGGGTCAAGATGTTAATTAGGCAGCACCGCTGGCCACAGGCAGATGCCCTCACTCCCCTGTCACCTGACTACAGAGTGGCATGGTGGATGACATCTCAGTGAGGCAGTGTGCATCATCCCTGCAGACTTGTCAATCTCTGGTGGACAGGCACAGCAGCTGCAGATTAGTTTTCTTATCTGCTGTGGTTTGTTTGGTGAACCTCTGGGCTCTGAAGTGTTTGCTGGTGGTTTAAGAGCTTGGAAACCTCAATGTAAATGAACACAGGAATTGTTCAGGGAGAAAATAGGCAGGAAACCAGAGTGCCACCTCCAATTTTGGTTATTGTCTGGGATGCGAACAATTGTTCTCAGGTACCTAGCCAATATTTCCCCTCAATTTAAATGATTTGATGAAGAAAAATAAGTAGGTGCTGTTTTTTTCCCCTCAGAGCTCTAAGAGAATATATAAAAAAAAAAAAAAAAAAAAGTCCTCTTACTACCATATTTAGAGAGTGGAATGAAAAAGAAAAGGAAAGAAAGTCAGCCAGAATAATCATTACAAACCTTGAGGCTAACGTCAGTTTTACTTTAACCTTTCATCACTCACCCTGGAATGGTTTTAGAGGATTGTCTGAAAGAGTCTAAGAGGAAGAAAAATCCTAGCTTCCCCCAGTGTTAGGAACTGTGTAATAGAATATTTCTAAAAACCAGTCCGTTGTGGTGTTCTAGAAATCATGATACATGAGAGATTTAAAGTCTTGAGGAAATTTTGAACCAAAGAGATGGGAAGGGGGAACGAGGATGGTGAATCTTTCCTCCTCCTTTTCACCAGCCTGCATCTCCGTGCCGTCATTTCTCCCTAAGGTATACTCAGCATCCCAGAGACCCTCCCCCTTTATTTTACCTTTTAATAAACACAATATAGACCCTCTGAATTCACGGTCTTCACAGCAGGGTGGGGAGGGGTTCTTCTCTAACTGGAAAGTCACGTTCTACATCTTTCAAAACTCACCTCCAAAATGTGAAGGAAAGGTTCAGAATGTGGCAGTAGGTGATCGCTTCGATGCTAAGACCAGGCTGCCTGGAATACGTCATTGGTTTCATCTCTCACTCGCTCTGAAGCATTACACTTCACTTTCCTTGTCTTCTCAATAGAGACAATCATAGTAACCTCCCTCGAAGGGGATTTTGAAGTTTAAAGTCATTCGTTGATACACGGCGCATTGCCAAATTCTAGCCTTCGAGTAGCAGGGTAGAACTAACTATTATTTCTCATGTCTTCACTCCTGCTCTGTGATGGCAAACCGGAGCTTGAAACTGAAAGGATTTCATAGCACCTTCGGGCACCTGCCTTCCAAAGCAAACTGCTATATATGACCTTTCAGACAGTGCATTTCAATATCTGTATATCCTCCTATGCTGTGGTCTCCTCAGAACAGAGAAAGACAATCTTTTGTTGTGTTATCTATAAGGTATCCTAGAGTCTAACACATGCATCCATCTGATGAGGAAATTAAGATGTTTATGTGAATTGATTCTTGGACCACGTTGTTTTTACAATTAGGTTAAATACATTGAAATGAATATTATGTTTTGTGCTTTGGATCACTTTTTGTAATAGGGAAGGGTGAGCTTTTCTGGAATACTGTTCTCTCACTTTCTTATTTCTGTTGGCTCTGACTCCCTGAATTCTGAGCACAGCATCGCTGCATGCTTTGTAATACTTTAATGCAGTTCCTTCGTTGGACACTGTTTTCAGAAGCGCATGGTATCCCTGAGTCTTTTTCTCTCAACCACAACTTGGCCCTGTCTGGCTTGTGTTCAACAGGGAAGTAGATGATGACTTGACTTGTCCCATTTCCCCATGAAAGTTGTCCCACAAATTTAAAATAAAGAACAAATATAATTCTAAGTGGCATTTTTACTGATGTAGTGGATTTTATCAATTTATTTTTAAAGAACAGTACTGGAACAATAATACAATATTTATCATTTGAGAAAGCTGACTGAGAATAATTCTTACTATAACCATATCAGCAAAAGTGAGCTATTCTAAGAAGCGTAAGAGTAAGGGATAACACCTCCTTTCTGCTATTGAATCCCTGACTTTACTCTTAAAAAAAAATAACTCATAATTGTATCAAGTGGAAAACAAATCAGAAAAATGGGGAAAACACTGTTGGGGTAGAAAAGTTTAGACTAGGCAGTATTTACTCTATTTTTTGTTCAGGCTTATGTTTCTTAATTTGGAAATAACTCATTCAAGTAATAATTAAGTACCGCTTCTCCAAAGTGTTTTCTTGGTTTCTATTGTTTTCAATTTGGTTCATAAAGTGGGAACATGGTGATCCAAAGGCTAAAAGTTGACCCTAGAATATTAATTGGAAGAATGTTTGCATAACATAAGAGAAGCCCTGGATTGGATCCAGAAAAGGAAGGAGAGAGACGGGAGAGAACAGGAGAAAGAAAAAGAGAAAGAAAGAAATCTAGGAAGCAATAGAGGAAGGAAGGAAGGAAGAAAGGAAGGGGAAGGGAAGAGAGGGAGGGAGAGGGGGAGGAAGGGAGGGGAGGGAGGGAGGGGGAGGAAGAGAGGGGAGGGAGGGAGGGAGAGAGGGAATAAAGGGAGGGAGGGAGGGAGGGGAGGGTAAGAGGGGGAGGGAGGGAGAGAGGGAGGGAATTAAGGGGAGGGGAAGAGAGAGAGGGAGGGAGAAAGGGAGGGAGGGAAGGAGGGAAGGAAGGAAAGAAGAAAGGAAGGAAGGGGAGGGCAAGAGAGGGAGAGGAGGGATGGAGGAAGAAAGAAGGAAGGAAGGAAGGAAGGAAGGAAGGAAGGAAGGAAGGAAGGAAGGAAGGAAGGAAGGAAGGGGAAGGCGGGAGAGAGGGAAGGGAAGAGGAAAGAAGGAAGGAAGGAAAAACAGAAACATTTGTTTTCAATTGAAGAAGAAGGAGGTAAGACATTATATCCATGTGTATGTGTGTTTGTGTGTGCTGACTTATATAACCAGAGCTATGTGGGCAAACTAAGAGTAGTTTGGGTCTTGCTGGGCTCTTTTACTACAGTGTGCCTTGGCTCAAATTGCTTAAGTACAATTCTTTCTTCACGTATACATGCAATTGAAACACGGCCTTCCATTCTCTCCTTACTGGGAAACTGGACTCATAACTGGAAATAAAGACAAGGGGAGATCTGAGCACTTTGTTCTAAGCATGATTGAGAAGACAGCTTTCTTGCATAAGCTTTCAATTCTACAGTCCATACAGGCATCACTGGCTTCCAATATTGTAGCCAAGTAAAAAAAATAATGGATATTCCCAAAGATTTTTAAACTTCTACTTACTTCTTAGATTTGCCAATCATTCTCAGAGCTTATATAAGAATTGTTTAGTTTGTGTGTTTGAAAACAGACTTGGGGGCTGGAGAGATGGCTCAGAGGTTAAGAGCACTGCTTGTTCTTCCAAAGGTCCTGAGTTCAATTCCCAGCAACCACATGGTGGCTCACAACCATCTGTAATAAGATCTGGTGCCCTCTTCTGGCCTGCAGGGATATGTGCAGGCAGAACACTGTATCCATAATAAATAAATAAATCTTAAAAAAAAAAAAAAAAAAAAAAAAAAAAAAAAAAAAAAAGAAAACAGACTGGAAACGCACTTGGATTTAATTATATAATTTATGGTCAATTTCCACTTGACTCCTTCTGTCTTTGGAATGGAAGTTCTTAGTTTCAGAAATACAATTTTTACATGAAAATTACTAGATGAGGGCTCTCCATTCAGGTATTGTATTTACTTTGCACTAAAAGGACGTTCTCCTTTTTTTAAATATGATATGCAAGTAATTATTTGATAAATTAAATTCACACGACAGCAATCTTGACTAATTTGCACTTACTTCTTTTTATGTCTTGCTCTATGACAGAGGTAAAAACAGAAATACTCAAAAAAAAAATGATGTTGCCAGTCTGAAAACTACAGGATAAATCTATGTGGAGATCTTAGTTTTGAAGTCTTGTGCCCCCAAGGCAAGAGAGAACAGTGGAGACTGAAAGGCATTAGACCCTGACTTTAGTTCCAGTACATACAACTTACATATTGGATGGCTTAAAACTCCCTGGAGCACCACTTTCTTCTCATAGAAAATGGAGCTATTGAGTCAAATGACGTCTACGGTCACTTTTAAGCTTCATGAATATATGGATTAAAAGTTAGAACTAAAAAATCCAAGGAAGATGCTGTTACAGTACCCATTTCCAACACTGATGGTGATTATTGATGTAAATAATGGTTATCAGTCATTATTTACATGGTGGAGTCTAAAGAAATATCTGACATTTTAGAACACCATCAATGAAAATAGAGGAAATAAGGTAACTGTGGGGAATTATGTCATTAGATTGACACGTTCTAGAATCAAGGAATGCATAGTCGCCAAAAGACAGCAAGTGCTGTTCATGGCAGCAGGGTGGCTGGGTACCCTTTGGAATGTTTCAACATATTCAAAACAGGGACATGTTGAAAAGGCAGTGGAATACCTAATGTTTGAACAACAGACACATGAGAGTTACTACACAAATGGAGGCCAAGTTCAGTGAGACCAAGTGTGGGAACTATTCCAGGTCAGGTGACACTCGTGGAATAAATACATCATGTGGTCCTCTCTGATGCCATTCATACAGTTCTCCATGCTCTGACTTCCTACTTACCATGAGATGCTATGATTACATACTAGCATTTCCTGCATGCCAATGACTGGGACAAAGTACAATGAGGATACAAACTTTGACTTGGCCTTCTTGTCACAGTGATTTTTCTATGGAAAATTAAAATATGTTTCTGATTATAAACTGATTTCCCATAAGCTCAACACAATAAGATAATCCCAGTGTGACCATTCTAAATCTACAAAAGTCTTATTGTTAAATAATTAATGGGTAGCCAAATCTTCCATACTTCTCAGTTAATATGAATCCAGACTTGGGATAAAATGTCACAGACACTAGGAAATGCCTCACTTTCAAAGTGGAGGGCCAGCCAGACTTTGTGATGAGGCAGTTAAAATACTACATGGCAAGTGAGTTCTTATCTCAACTCAGCTGTGTTTCCTTCCTAAAGCACTCTGTTCCTTAAAATTTCTAAATGTAGAAAGACACTCAATGAAGCAAATGTAAATAACCTTGCTTTGTAGATTAAGATCAGTTAATTTGCACATACAAGGATGTCTAGATAGGAAGGCACAATGGTTTTGTTTCAAACAATACTAAGGACTTTGAGTAAGGACTTCAAGCAGTGAAGTGACCTTGATAATACATATTTAATAGGGGGAGGGGCTTTCAAATTTTCAATCCCTACAGACATGTAAGATACAAAAGGAAAAAAAAAAGACTTGATTTTGTTCATCATTCGCTGATCCCTAGCATAATGCCTGATACATAGAGAATTCCATAAATGCGCACTGAATGAAAGAGGCTTATTCACAGGGATTGCCACTTCAAGTTTTCCACATAGCCACACAGCAACAATTCACATTTCATACAACTTACCATGGGCATCTCACCTTCAGGACCTTAGCTCTTTAAATCCTAAATCTCCAAAACTCTACATATTATCTTTTTCTCTTACTTTAGTTTTAAAGATGGTCTTCTACCCATATTATTTATCCTCATTACACCTTGGATCTCTCCATTTCCACCAGACTTTCTCCTCTGACTGAGGGATGCCCAAATATCTTTCTAACTCATAGAATAATTTCTTATAGGTGACCAGTATCTTAGTCCCTCTCTCATTTCCACTAGCTGCATTCTCTGAAGCATGACTTCTCCCCCAGGAATTCTTAGCCTTATTTCATCCCCATTCTATATACCAGTTGCTTGCAAAAGACACCAAAGGGCTGGTCCTTACCCTTTCTACCACCTCTGAAGTCAAACCTACACTCCAGTGGCTTCCTGGGAATATAAAGATATTAGAAAGGGAGAGCAGAACCTCAGGTGTGGATTATCTAGAACTGATATTATACATATTTTTTCAAATATATTCTTTGGAAATATGAAGATTACTCAGTGATAAAGGGCTGACCTAGTATGTACAAGACCCTAGTTTCAATTTCTGAATATATAGACATGTGTGTGTGCACGCATGTGTGTGTGTGTGTGTGTGTGTGTGTGTGTAATAGATTTTGTCTATTTTTAGACAAAGAATAGCATCATTTGTCAATTGATCAGTCTAGGAATTTAGAAAGCAAAGTCTCTATTACACTCAACATTATGTGTTCCACAGTTTTCAATCAAATGGGTTAAGTTGATTGAAAGAATTTTCTTCAGAACTGTGTATTATTTATCTATTGGATTTTCACACCGGTTTTAGTGGTTCCTGTCTCTGCAGTATTTTTTACTTTATAAGTCTACAATGTTAGCACCTCATGCAAAACCTTGAATTTATAATGATATAGATGCATAGCGCCACCCTCCATTCTTTGTGAAAATTATCACCTATATTGATTACATGCATATTATTGTCTCTAACACATATTATTAAAACTTTAGTTTTAAAGTCATAATTTTTTAAGTTAGGAGAAATACAGTATTTTATAGATACTGAAGTTTTTTTTATTTTGTTGGTCTTAATTTCTTTCTGACAGTCTTTCTTCTTTATTTTTTTTTCAATTTGAAATACATCCTTTGCTATTTGAAATAGGATGGGCCATCATTTTCTCTTTTTTTAGGTATATTTTCAACAAATACAAAGTTGTTTGAAAATTCTTTTCTTCTTCTCAGTTTAAAATATTACCCTCTTGTTGGCTGTCGGTCCTTTCAGTGGTTTATAATGAGAACTCCCTGATCTTCTCTATTTAGAAACTGCTTCTTCATATTTATGTAATTTGTATACTTCCAAGATTTGGGGGAAATTTCTGCCATCCTCTCTGGAAATAGTTTAATCTGATTCAATCTCTCTTTTTGAGATTATTCAGGTACGAGACCTCTTGTTATTGTCTTTCCTGTTTTAATTCATTCTGTTCTTCAGGTTGGATATATCTCATTGTTCTCCCCTTATGTTGACTGATTCAT